TAAAATGCGCATTAAACGCACGTTATACGCGCATTGGCGCTCCTTGGGTAGCAACATAATAAACACAAAAATTGCATTAAATGTAATACTGCATATTATCAGCTATTTGGATCACATAAAGTGACAACAAGGTTTGCTTGTGTTTATGGTACTTTATGAGTTTATTTTATGATTAATAATTTTATGAGGATATATGGCTGTGTTCGGGAAGACGCTATTTAGCGCTATGAGCGTTTTTGACTTACAAAACATGACAATTGATTGTTGTAAATATATGATTATATCAATCAAACTTTTATTCACTTTAACTTACAGCCAGAAAGTGGGACTTGGTTTACAATAAAATCTTATGCCATTCATTCATCCATTCCTCACTATTCTATTTTATTATATTATCTACTTCCTATCTATTGCCCTATCCGCTCCTAAATATTTACCTATTTATTATACGATACCTACTTATCACCGCTTTTACATCTATTTATCACCATTTTATCACAATTATTGCCATCAAACATCAATTTCGCAGCTCTTGACTAATTATTCTTTTAATCCTTTCCTTTTCCTTCCAAATTTTACATAGTACTTTACCTTTATTTTCATCTGCTACATCATTATACAATCTTTCTAATTTCTCTTCAACGCTATTTCCCAGCTCTATAAACCATTCCATCGTTATTTTACAATCTGTTACATAATGTTCTAGACTATCCTTTCCTTCTCTACAAAATAAACAAACTCTCCGTTCATTCTCCTCGCTCAACCAATACCTATTATTTTCCTCCATATTTCCGTATCTTAGTCTTATCATCGCTCTAATTCTTCCCATTGCCTCTGTATGCTGCTTTCTCTCACAACTATTTCTTTGATTAGATTTCTCTCCTCCCTTATCATGCTATCAACTGCCTCAACACCCCACCCATTCCTATTATAATATGACTCTCTCTCTCTCTCTACCATATAGATCTGTCCATCCTTCCCTCTGTTTTTCTTTCCAACATATTTTTACCCATCTATGTTCTTCCAGTAAATGTACGATTATCAGGGAATGAAAAAAATAACAATAAAATCTGAGATTACACTTTGTCCTCAAGAACATGTTACTCATACCACGTGTCATCATGATATGATTACAAAAAATGGGACAAATGTCTATCAGAATTAGAAAATCATGATGAAATCATGTGATGAAATATGATCCTCACGCATTGCTATCTGGGTATATAGATAAAACCACGTAACTCTATTTTTGGATATTTTGAGATATTATATCTATATCATGGAAAGTTATTTACTGTCGTAATACAAATGGTTCAACCAGGTTTCGGAGTGATAAAATTTCAATGACTATAATTTGAACAAGCATAAATAATTCTACGTTTATCCCTCCATACAAAATTCTCTTATTATTTTGATTAACATTTTGTAAATTTGTCGAAATTAAGTCGAAATCTTGAACAGCGGAAACTCATTGAACATCTTTTAAACATGAAAAAAACAATAAAAGTTGCAAGAAATCGATAATTTTAAAAAACTGTTTGCTTTCTCAAATAAAAGAATATTTTTATTTGAAACAATACTTACATTCTTAGAAAAAGAACAGCAAAAGATCTATCATTTGTGCTCTAATTTGTATTAATATACTCTTTTCAAATGTGCCACATCCATGCGCGTGTAGGTCAACTAGACGTCAACAAAAGTAAAAACTCAAGTTGGTTCTACCTTTACAGATAGAGATCCATACGAGACGAAACAAGTTCAATATCGATCTTTTTTGGTAAGATGCCTGTTGAATTTAAAAGTGTCAAGAGGTCTGTAACGCAGGAGTCTACGATCGGAAATGGAGAATCGTGTTCCGTCGATAGTGGCATCGTCATCACGGGAATATCAGGTAAATGTCAGTCGCGAATGGCTGTATCGTTATGAGAGCGTAACATACTAAACAAATAAACGTTTTTCAAGGCCGGCTGCCCAAGTCGTCTAATATCGAGGAATTTAAGGAGAATTTGCTGAAGGAAATGGATATGGTCACTGATGACGAGCGTTGGTCAACGAACAGCTATGGGATACCGGGCAAGTCAGCCAGGATTAACGACATCGGCAGCTTTGATACTTCTTTTTTCGGGGTACACCCCAAGCAAGCACACGTAATGGACCCACAGCTTCGCATGTTGTTAGAAGTCATATACGAGGCGATAGTTGATGCTGGTGTCAATCCTTCCACCATAAGAGGATCGCGTACTGGAGTGTTTATCGGTGCCGCTTTCACCGAAACGGAGGATTTATGGATTAAAGATACAAATATCACCAACGGTTCGTATTGTTATGAAAAACAATGCCGAATGCCTCCTCAATCAATTATTTTAAAGTTTGTTTACTTATAACAATAGGGAAAGATGGTACAGACGTAGCCTTTTACGATTAATCAGTGTACACATTTTGCTGTTTATCATATATATCTGATACACTGCAAAAGAAATCAAACAATATCTGCTGACAAAGAAAAACTTACATCTGCTTGCAGGATACGTAATGCTCGGGGGTACGAGATCAATGTTCGCCAACAGAATCTCCTTCTGTTTCGATTTTAATGGACCCAGCTTTACGATTGACACGGCTTGCTCCTCGTCTTTGTACTGCATGCATCAGGCAGTCGCCGCAATGCGCAACGGCGAGTGCGATGCTGCGATCGTCGGTGGAACGAATCTTATATTGACACCCGAGAGATCGCTACAATTTTACAGACTGAATATGCTCTCCCAGGATGGCAAGTGCAAAGTGTTCGACGCATCAGGTGACGGTTACGTGAGGGCCGAGGCGGTAGTGGCAATATATCTGCAAAAAGCGACGGATGCGCGCAGAATATATGCCACAGTGGTTCACACGAAAACAAACACGGATGGCTACAAATCTCAAGGTGTCACATATCCCAATGGTGACATGCAGAATCGACTGATGCGTGAGATTTACAGTGAGGCAGGAATTAATCCTATAGACGTCAGTTACATAGAAGCCCATGGCACCGGTACCAAAGTAGGTGATCCAGAAGAAATCAATTCTATCGACACACTATTCTGCAAAGATAGAAAGACTCCTTTGCTGATCGGATCGGTCAAATCCAACATGGGGCATTCGGAACCGGCAAGTGGATTGTGTTCGATCGCTAAAGTGCTGATCGCAATGGAAGCGGGCGTGATACCCGCGAATTTGCACTTTAACACTCCGAATCCAAACATTCCTGGGTTAAACGAGGGACGTATTCGAGTAGTCGACAAGGCCACATCGTGGAACGGTGGTCTCGTGGGCATCAACTCGTTCGGATTCGGCGGCGCAAATGCACACATCCTTCTACGCAGCAATCCAAAACCAAAATTATCACCACTATTAAGCGTTGCTGAACTCTTGCCCAAATTAGTCGTGGTATCAGGTCGAACGGAAGAAGCTGTGCATACCTTACTGGGCAAAGCAAAAGAGCACCGTACAGATGAAGAGTTTCTTTCACTGTTACACGTAATACACAATAACAATATTCGCGGTCACAAGATTCGTGGTTACGAGATACTCGGCGTAAATAGTATGCGTGAAGTGACCCAGGTAGCGAGCTACAACAAGAGACGCCCAATTTGGTTCATATTTTCCGGCATGGGCGCGCAATGGCCAGGCATGGGTCGTCAGTTGTTCGGCATTGAAACTTTTCAACGCAGTTTGCAGCGATGCGCTGATGCATTGATGCCCCACGGCATCGACCTCATGAATATCATCATGAATGCCACGGATGAAACGTATGAGAACGTGATGGATTCCTTCATGACTATTGCAGCTATACAAGTTGCCCTAGTGGACATGTTAACGTTGATAGGCATACATCCGGATGGTGTGATTGGGCACTCCGTTGGAGAGCTGGGTTGTGCTTATGCTGACGGCGCATTTACGCTGGAACAGACCGTTTTGGCAGCTTACTGTAGAGGCAAAGCGATTGTAGATTCCAACTTGGAGCCAGGTGCCATGGCAGCAGTTGGTTTGAGCTGGGAGGAGGCCAAAAAAATGTGCCCGCCCGATATCATTCCAGCTTGTCACAACGCCGCCAACTCTGTTACTATTTCCGGTCCGATTGATTCTATGCACAAGTTCGTAGAAATACTGAAGAACAAAGATATCTTCGTCAGGATGGTAAAAAGTTCCGGCTTCGCCTTCCACAGCAAATATATCGCTTCGGCCGGACCTAAATTACGCGCTTTACTCGAGAAGATCATACCGAGCCCGAAACAGAGATCAGTCAGATGGATCTCTAGCTCTATACCTGAGGCCACATGGGGAAGTCCGCTCGCGCAGCTTAGCTCCGCCGCGTATCATGTGAACAATTTTTTGTCTCCTGTACTGTTTCAGGAAGCACTCGCACATATCCCGAAGAACGCGATAACGATCGAAATCGCGCCGCATTGTTTACTACAAGCAATCTTGCGCAAATCGTTACCACCAACTGTGACCAATATTAGCCTCCACAAGCGAGAACATTCAGACAATCTCACTTTTCTACTGTCTAACGTGGGCAAGCTATACATGGCCGGTGCACAACCTGACATTTCTAAATTGTATCCGTCGGTGAGTTTTCCCGTCGGTCGCGGAACACCGATGATCGGGTCACTTGTCAGGTGGGATCATTCCGCCGCGTGGGATGTGGTTGATTTCCGACAAATATCAGAACGTTCGGAAGAATGTAACATCCAAATAGATCTGTCGAAAGAAACGGACGCGTATCTATCTGGGCACCAGATAGACGGACGAATTCTTTTTCCAGCCGCTGCTTATATGCTGCTGGTATGGAAAACTTTGGCAAAATTGCGTGGCGTTGACTTTGAACGGTTACCTGTAGTGTTCGAGAACGTGCAGTTGCAGCGGGCGACCATTATGCCAAAGGAAGGAACGGTGAAATTCTCGATAACCATACTCAAGGGAACTGGAGATTTTGAGATCTGCGAAACCGGTACGATCGTCGTCAGCGGAAATATTCACATCTCCGAGAATATCGAGAATGATCAGCTGAAACTGCCGCCACCGCAAACACCTGCTACCACTAAAGAGATTTTGCCGTTGAGTACCAAAGACATTTACAAAGAACTGAGGTTGCGCGGATACGAGTATCGCGATATCTTTCAAGGAATTAAATCCTGCGATAACTACGGCGTTGCCGGCAAACTTTACTGGTTTAATCAATGGGTTTCGTACATAGACAGTATGCTTCAGTTAACTATAGTTTCCACCAGCCATAAACTAATGTATTTACCGTCGCGCATTCGGTATGCCGCAATCGATCCTATTCTTCATAAACAACTGGTGGAACAATTACCAGAGAACGGTGTATTGCCAGTGTATCACTACAAGAACATCGATATCGTTAAATCGGGTGGTATCGAATTCAGAGGATTGAAATCGTCCTTGGCGCCTCGACGACAGCGCACTCAAGCCGATCCTAAATACGAGCAATACACTTTCATGCCCTATGAACATTCGCATAGTCTAGTAGAGGATGCAACGAGAGGAAGAGTACACGCACTCACTGTTCTATTGCAGATCATGTATGAAAACGTAATGTCATTGAGATTAAAGACCGTGGAACTTGCAGGCCAACGGACTGCAGAAGCTCTTCTGGCGCCACTTATTAGCGAAATTTTCAATAACGAACAAGACTCATTTATCGTAAGTATATCGTTGAATAAGTTTTTTTTGTTTTTTGCTCAAGACGAAATATTTCCTCATTCAAACGTCTCAGTATCGTGTTTGCAGTGTAACGACAAACTCAGAAATTACAACTTTTTGTTTGACAGACAACCCCAGCACTGAACTGTCCACCCAGTATTCCATTGTAATAAATTATATTGTCACAACGTTAAACAGAACCACTACAAATAAGTATTACATTTAAACAAAGCAATCTGTACCATTTGAAACAAAATATTATGTTTTAGTAAATCGATAGTTATAATTTATTCCTATTTATAATTATTACTTTCACAGACGCTTCTTCAATATTTAAATTTATTACAAAATTGTATTTTTTGTTTTAGATGGACTTAGAAATCATTGCAGTCTCTGCTGATAATTACACGGCAAACTTGAATAAAATGAACGCTGACGTCGTAACGCAAGATGTGAATAAGGCACCTCTCATTCACGAAGCAGACCTTGTTATAGCAGCGGACGTTTTGTCTAATCAATCTTATACCGTTCTCAAAAATTTGGTGGCTGCCTTAAAACCTGGATGTTTTATTCTTCTGGAAGAAACCGCTGCTCAACTGGATATGAAAACTGCATTAAAAAATACTGATTTAACATTGGTTGGCAGACAAACCGATCCTGTAGGAAAGACTTACTTGTTGTTGAAGAAACAACAAAAACGGAGAGAAGCGATAGTTATTCAAATCACCGAGAAAAA